CTATCTATCTATCTATCTACAAAACAATATGTTTTACAAGTTTACCACAAACAAACCCAGGAATCTAATTGTATTCATTTTAGATTTAATGCTCCATTTACAAAGAGCATGTACAATTTTGTAAAATGTACCTGAGACTTTTAGCAGTAATTTCTCCTTGTAGAAGAGAATATTGGTGCATTCATAAACAGATAACCAAGTTGTTATTATTACAAAATGATGTGTGTAAATCAGCAAAAATCAGCAACAGGATATGTATTTGTGATAATGTTGAAATGAATCTCTTTCACTTTCGGCTGACGATTTTTCATTTTATTTTTTCACATTATATAACATTTATATAATATTTTAGAAGAACTAAGACAACCTATGTGTGTATCGTTTCTGACGGTGGGGTGAGTCATCTCTCAAACAAAGACGATCTTCACCAACAGCCATTTCGCATTGCATTTCCCATGGTGCACCGCTGCTGTCACAACAACACTTCGCCATTTCACGTTAAGGGGGGCCGTAATTCCCGCGGAGGAATTGGGTCAACTGAGCGGAGGTGCCGAGCTCCGGCCGTCTCTTCACTGAAAACGTCTCTGACCTCCCCCCCATCGTCCGACGGCTCGGTTATCGATCTCCGATGCGTGTTCTTCGGTTGGTGCGGATGAGTTTTCCCGCCGTGGGTCCGGGCTGAAGCGTCACATCGGTGGTCGGGATATTCCTGCTCACAGCTACCGTCAGGAAGCTAGCGGAGTGTAAACAACGAGGTAGGCTGGAGCTAAACTAGAGCATATCTCAGTGTTGAATGAGCTGCGGGTCCTTCTGTTATTGAGCACATTAAATGGTAACTACGGGGGTAGTTGGGTGTCATTTGGAGGCAGGTTTCTAGCGCTAGATAGCTGGCGTTCACTATAATGTACTCATGTAACCTAAGATCTAGCTAACTCAGCTAACGGTGAGTTAACGTGGCCAGTCGTGTCAGTCATTTATTGTTCACTTTAGTTTAACTCGAGCTTTGTTGCGGCGAGGCAAGTTGCACAGTCAGCCATTTAATAATGAATTCAATGATTTGCCCTGCGTGTAAAATCAATATATTGACGGTTACCTGCTTATGCATGGCCCCGTTTGATGTTACTTAACTTCATGTCCTCTAACACACGTTTCCCCTGAAAGGAGAATCTAACTGTGTAATTTAACGACTATGTTTTTACTGAGAGAAAACAATTAAAACTCTTTACATCTCGTATGTTGTTCATCCCTTCTTCTTGCCTTTATATACTGAACCAAAAGAGATAAACACAAGGAAAACAAAATATTGTCATACACTTAATACAGCAATATACAATGCAATATATGCACCTCCATACATTCAAATGTAAATGTGATTGCACATATATAAAATATCATGGAGGAGAGGTGTTAATGGGAGGCTTCTTATCAGAAAGCGAGAGGGGATTCAACCTTCATTTAATGATGTTCTCACAGGTTAAGGCTGCCAGGGATTAAAACAATAAAATAAAGTGTAAAAAAACAGGTAATCCGGAGCAAAGTGATAGTCAGGATCTGCTTTCACATACGTTACAGTTAAAATGAATGGACTTCTTAATCAATATAAGTGTATCTCTGTGTTTCACCATGCTGGACTATAATAATCTTATAATCTCCATTCCTCAGGATGAAGCGGATGAAAGGAGGAGAGGAGGACAGCAACAGCTCCCCCAGTATCAGCCCACCGGAGGCCTGCAAGAAGGTGCGGAAGCAGACGGGTGAGGAGTCGGAGGCAGTGGTGGCCAGTGGGTCACTAGACAGTGACTGGGCACGACTGCCTCAGGAACTCCTGCTGCACATCTTCCAGTACCTTCCTCTGCTGGATCGGGCTTATGCCTCTCAGGTGTGCCGCCGGTGGAACCAGGCTTTCCACATGCCCGAGCTGTGGAGATGCTTCGAGTTTGAGCTTAACCAGCCAGCCAGCTCTTACCTGAAAGCCACACATCCAGACCTCATCAAACAGATCATAAAGAGGCACTCCAACCACCTGCAGTATGTCAGCTTCAAGGTGAGGGTGGAAAAGCTGTTGCATGCTGACTCTGGGATTAAGTCTTTACAATTTGCACGCACAAATTGAGCTTTTATGTTTTTGAAATGGCATTCAGTCTTTTGTTTGCACTTGCCAGGTGGACAGTAGTACGGAGTCGGCAGAGGCAGCATGTGACATCCTTTCACAGTTGGTGAATTGCTCACTGAAGACCTTGGGGCTCATCTCTACAGCCAGGCCCAGTTTCATGGAGGTTCCAAAGGTATAATTAACATCATCACCACGGGTCTCCATCTTTATAGTATCCTGTTCTTCAGATTTACAAGATAACTCAAAGGAATTAAACTTAAAGCTTGAGCTGAGCATGCTGATAATTTAACAGCATAGTTTCTGTAGTCTCTCTCTCTCTCTCTCTCTCTTATCTGATGATGGGGCTGAAAAGCAGTGTTTGTTCTCATGCATGGCCGAGGACAAGTATGAAATTACTGTCATGGCCTCTGAAGGTCACAGGATGTTAAGTTTTATTTAGTCTCTCTTGGTGTACTCTGAGTGTAGATAAATATACCGTTTGGATGCGAAAAGTCTTTGCATGTGCAGAAATCCTCATTGAAACTTGAAACTTTCACACACAGGTCAAGTTCAGTATTCGTGTCCCCACATTCTCCATATGCTGGTTTTGAAGAGTCTTTTTGAGGAACAGAAATCTGTCACTGCAGACATGAGACAGTGAAAGTGTTGCGTCTGCCTTTTCTCGCTCATCCTTATTTTTTTCTGTTCAGTTACTACATTTTGCTGAGTGATTGTTGGCCTAATAAGGATGTACTCTTTTGGATTGAAAGGGTTGCAGGGGTCGTGGGATGCAGCCAAATCATCATTTGGCATAATCAGTTTTCCTGAGCTCTTTATCCTTACGGCTACAAAGCTGTGACTTCTATCAACATACTTGAAGTCTGCAGTTTTAAAAGCCAGTGTCTCTATTGCTTTGCCTCTTTAAATCCATATAACAATCAAAGAGGAGGAGACAATTTAAGATTCTAACACTCAACTAAATATCAAGTTCAACTTTATGGTCACATGTATTTCACATACAATGAAACTATTGTGTGCTGGCGCTCTCTGCCTTAAACACAAGGTCACACACTAAAGACCTACATAGACCATGTACACAATGAGTTTGTTACATTATGCACAATATACAGTACATGGGAACACAACAATGTGAGGTGCGTATGGGTGCGTCAATGGTTCAGCAACCTGACCGCCTGTGGAAAGAAACATGATAGCGACCGCAGATGTTTTTGTGTTGTCCACCCAGTAGCACTAGTTTTAGTTCTGTCATCTTTGTCCTTCCACAGTCTCATTTCATCTCAGCTCTGACCGTGGTATTTGTCAACTCCAAGTCATTGTCTTCGCTGAAGATTGACGACACGCCAGTGGATGATCCTTCTCTGAAGGTGCTGGTGGCCAACAACAGTGACACCCTGAAACTGCTGAAGATGAGCAGCTGCCCCCACGTCTCCCCAGCAGGTACAGTGGGCGCAAACACACGATGAGAGGAAGCAGCCATGTAATGTTTTTGCTGTTTGTTTTCTGTGTTTTGTTGTTTGTTTTGGTGTGGTTGTTTGATAATCACGCCTGTGTTGCGCTTTCAGTCAAATGTTTTTGATTTCCTCTTCGGAGTCACAAGGCTGTGTTCTCCAGCCAGGGGCTTATTTAGAGCCCTCATGCCGTGTTGTCATTTTGTGCCAGAGGTAGCATGGTATACTGTGAATGAATTATGACATTATGTGGTTATCCTGTTTCTCCTTCTTGCATACAATTTCTCGGAACTGTTTTTAACTGTTAGCTACGATCATGGCCGCTGATTCAACTGCAACTCGTCTGGCAAATATAGCAGACCTTTTTATAACTAAGGACCTTTTCAGGAGTTTGTTGTTCTTTTTTTTTGTTCCCTTTATGATTTGGATTTAAAAAACAATCTGTCCGTATTTGCAGGGATCCTGTGTGTGGCAGACCAGTGTCACGGGCTGAGAGAGCTCGCACTTAACTACCACCTCTTGAGTGATGAACTCCTGCTGGCCCTCTCCTCGGAGAAACACGTCCACCTGGAACACTTGAGGATTGACGTCGTGAGTGAGAACCCCGGCCAGCACTTCCACACCATCAAGAAGAGCAGCTGGGACGCCATGGTGCGACACTCACCCAAATTCAACCTGGTGATGTACTTCTTCCTCTATGAGGACGAGTTCGGCCCTTTCTTTAACGAGGAGATCCCCGTCACTCACCTCTACTTTGGTCGCTCGGTCAGTAAGGAGGTCTTGGGCCGCGTTGGCCTCCACTGCCCTCGTCTTGTGGAGCTGGTGGTGTGCGCCAACGGCCTGCGTCCTCTGGATGAGGAGCTGATCCGCATCGCAAAGCACTGCACTCAGCTGTCAGCCATTGGTTTGGGCGAGTGCGAGGTGTCCTGCAGCGCGTTTGTGGAGTTCGTCAAGATGTGTGGCCGGAGGCTTTCACAGTTGTCCATCATGGAGGAGGTGCTGATTCCAGATCACAAATACTCCCTGGATGAGATCCACTGGGAGGTGTCAAAGCACCTGGGCCGGGTCTGGTTCCCAGACATGATGCCGACCTGGTAAAGTGAAGCCAAAGAGGCACACAGAGTTCATTCAGTACGTCAAGTTTGTGGTGTGGAACATTCATGGCCTCCATGTTTGCATTGAAAAGCCTTTAAATGCTCCGCTGTAGTGGATTGTTTGGTGCCAACACGAAGAGCATAAAGTTGCTGAACTCCTGTGTGGAGTGCAGGGTAGGGACGTAATGTGGAACCTGACTGCTACACCATGTTATCACATCAACTGCCTGTTAGCTTCGAAATGGACTCTGGAATCCTGCTTTTCTAATTGGGGAGACAGAACTGGCCACGCCGGCTTCTTCACATAGTAAACAATCAGCACACAGAGCAGTGCAGGTGGAAATATTTAAACAATGTGTTTATAACTGCAAATTGAGTTATATGGACATTGTCGCCTGTTATGATAATCTATGTTATGACGTGTGTGTGTGTGTGTGTATGGGCGTGTGCGTGCATGTACGTATGCGAATGTGTGTGTTTGAATGTTTTTTAACATTGGGGGGTAATTTGGGTTTCGATTAGCTGCACAATTTCATGTTGTTACACTACCACTTGGCCTCATTAAATCCTGTCTGAGATAGCAGCTCTGTCCTCTAACAAAATATGGCATTGGAGGTTTCCAAATAGCTGCGATGTTATTTGTATATAGTATGTGACAGAAGGCGGGGAGGGGTTGGGTCCTGCATCTAATTTTAAACTAATTTAAACATAAAGAGCAGCAGTAGTGTCGACGACATTGCTTTTCGTCCTCGCCAGAGCTCAGTCGTGCATCAAAAAAAAGAAATGATGATTGTTTAAATTGTTGAGGTTGGCCAGGAGAGAAACAGAAATGTGTATATAGGTCTCTATCTTTGTGATGTGAAGGTGTACAGTGTTAATGTCAGAGTTTTATTTTCCTGCATCACACAATCAATTGGCTTGATAAATTAATTTCTCCATTTCGTATAAAGAAGGTTTGTGTACAGTCATAGATTTCGTAAGCACCTTAGATGAATACCAAATGCTAGTCAGGACACACAAAGTCCCTCTGCCCTGATGAACAAAAGGAAATAAACTATATAATGCTCCAATTTGTTAGTTGGACCCAGATTCTAATAGTGATTTACACTGTACTGGGGCTCTGTTGAATCAGATACCAAGGACAGTACATTAAAGAAATAAAGCCAATAAGAAAAACCAGTAATAATTCTATGTAAATGTAGATAGTGCACAGGAATGTCTGAATTTGGATGTAGATATTGGCCAGTCTCCAACATTAATGATCAGATTGCTTCGTAATAATTCTATAGACTAGTCTCTGCGGCTATTAGCTTACAATGCATGCTGGGAATGCAGAACTAACCCTTTGTATCTCTCAGGTGCATTAAATCCTATTCCCCTAAATAGGTTTCATTTGTATCTTCTGCTATTTGCCTGTTCAAGCTCTAAACCCGTTGTGAATATCTGCCCTCCTGTAAGCCCACGTTTGCTCTGTATCGCGTCGCCACACCGTAGATACAGGACAGGAAGCAATACTCATCTTGTCATTACAAACACTGTCTTTGCAGATAATCACTAGCGCTCCTTTCCAGAACCCAAAAAAAGTCGAAAGAGATTTGGCGAGTCAGATGAGTGAAACAAACTTTTTTTCCTTTAAGAAGGAAGTCAAATGCATCTGTATATAAAACGCTGTGTGTTTGATTATTATGAATAGAAATGTAATTATTTCTTTATTTCGCCCTCTGTCGGGGTTTGAAGTTTCCTTAACCAACAGCTTGTGTCTTTTATAAAACCAGAGTGCGAGTTATCCTTTACTAGATGGGTCTTTTTCATACCGTAGTCACTAGAGAAGATAAGCTGTGTAATTTATTGATATGGATACTGCTTTTGTAATGAATTTGTGTTTTTCAGTTATACAAAAGAAGCAATCATTATAACCAGCAAGCAGACCAGCAGCAAGATAACGGTTTATTTGGTTTTGACACTTCCAGCTCTGTCACTATGGTGTTGTTGCACGCTGGTTGTCCAGAAGTTTTTAGTAGTTTGAATCCAAAACTAAACAGGGCAACACCTAAAGTTACATTCCAGTTGGCAAATCAATCACTGTTCTGCAGACGAACACCATCCTTTTTTCTGTCTTAAAACTGTGTGAAAGATGATCCGTATTCCAGCAGGACAATGGCATTAAAAACACAACACACTACACCTGCTTGAATTTCAGGAAGGGAAAGTTTTGCTGATTCAGATGTTCTTCTCCCTGCAGTCACCAGATCTGAATCCTACTGATCTTCTTTATGACATTTTTTAAAAGGATCATGTAAAAGTTAATTTAACATCAGAAGACACTTCACTGGAATCAAAAATTCAATTCAGTTCAATTTTATTTGTATTTGTAAAAATGTACAGATATGGGTCAAAGGTCAACCAAAATTCCAATCAAACAAACCTTTTGACTTGTGGCAGTATATGCCATTAAAAGCTACATATTTGTACTTAATAAATCCTTTGACAAAATGTCTTTTCATAAAAAGTTATTATTAAAAACTGTTGGACAACACTGCGTGACAATAAGAGCTGTAGATTTAGATTTCAGACTTTCACCTTTCAGATTGCTTTTATTCATGTGGTCTTAGACATTTCATGTAGCCAAATGGTGATGAAGACTAAAACTGACTTATTGCAGGAAGTGCAACCGCTTATTATTATTATCATTATTATTGTTGGATTGAGCTAACAGTCTATTGAATGGTCTCTTATCACTGAGGTAGATATCTGTGCTGATTGTCTGTGCTCATGTACCTTAGCATCTCAGTGGTACGGTAACATATCTCCTGATTATTTTTCATCATTTGTGCAGTGCATTAAACGGTGGCAGTGACAGTAGCTCTAAAGTGAAGGTTGTGTCTCAATACTCTACTGGTTTTAACCGTTTTCCTGTTGTCTTTATTGGGAAATTCAGCTGGATGAGTTAAAATATGTTTCACTTAAACATAGCTATTTTAAGCTCATTTGTTTAGAGTCCTCCGGTGAGTTCTGTTTGCAGTAAACTGGTGTTGACAATACTGTCCTTTTAGTTTTGCTTCTGTATGGCAAATGCTTTGTCTACTTTGCTTTACTGGTCACCTGTCTTGAAATTAAAATGATTGTTTTAGACATGTGATCTTATACTGGTAATAAACATTTGTGAATGTACTCTTTGCATCTGTCATTGTATTCATTCCCAAACACTGCCGACACTTAGCACTTAGTGAGCAGTTAAGTGAAAACAGCTTTGCACAAGTAGACTCACTAATAAAACTATACATATTATAGTACAGAAATCTATGTAACTTTTTTAATTGAATGAAAAGTGGACAGTTCACACCAAGTTATTAGGCTAGTTGGAAAAATTTAAATTTGATGGACAGAATGGCTTAAATATGCCAGTACAGGTGAGGAATGTATTAACAATGAGTGTAGTGATTTGAAACACTGTTATTTTGCTCTCAGGCATACATTTTTCCAAAGGCTTAAAATTTAAGGGGAGAAGAAGACTGCAAGCTAATAAACATGGTTATAAACAATACACAATTTAAAATTATTTAAAAAAAGAAGCTTTGCAAATGTTTTGAGGAAGGGAACGCTTTAAACACATTTGCCATGCCTCAAGACTTGTTTAGTGCAAAACACTGAATGTAAACAGAACTTTGTTTGCTTACAATAAAATCCCACAAGGCACCTTTAACACAGCAAACTCTTAAACTCTGCTTATGAAGAAAAACATTTTATAATGTCTTTGGCTTTAGGACAATCTTTTAATCAAAAACAAAGGAAAAAAAAGGCAGATTGACTATTAATGAAAAGAACTATTACTTTCAACCCTTGATGAAAACACTGCAGTAAAAGTGTTATGTTAAGGCAAAGGCACCTCCTCATATGTAATCTGCAAATAAGGAGGCTTCATTGGCAGATGCCAGTACTCAAAGTTGTAGTAAAGGTAGAAGCTCTTTTCCAACACGACCTTTTTATAAGCCTCCAACAGACTGATGGCAAAGTCTATAAACGACTGGTGTGGTCTGAACGTGTGGTAAAAATTACGGATGTCCACTGCCAGATTCTTCAGAGCAGGCTGTCCAAATATGGCGCTGTCGTTGCCGAGGTAGGTGGGCTCGCCGCTGTACAGGTAGATCTTGGTGTAATTGGTCTGAGTTCTGCTGGATAGCTTGGCTCCCAGCTCAGTCAGTTTCCTGTATGTGCGGTGGACAAACTGAGAGCAGTCGTAAGACTCAAACCACACTGTGGCGTTGGGGCTGGGGTCAGAGCGAACTGTCCACGTCTCGTAGTAGATCCCAGTCGAGTTGTCGTCCTGGACCCACTGGGCCATGTCATTGAACTGGTTCCCTGGAGAAACAAAGAAAAACATTTTAAAGCACAAAACTGTTTACTAGAGAAAGCGAGTCAATAAAAATAGTCCCAGAGCAGCATTTTCAAAGTCGAATGATTTGTTTATCTGCACTTTTCTACATCTAAGCAGTTTGTCTCTGGCTCAAGGGGGGTGTTAGGGTTCCCAGAATGCACTGGGAGAAGGGCATGAAAGACACCATGGACAGGTAACCTCCTGAACTGCACTCCTTGTTGGCGGAGGAAAGAAACCAGTAACCCCCGACGCAAGTGAAACTTAGTCAAACCCACAACCTTCTTGCTATGAGACCACGTAGCTATTGTGCCTCCAACAAGTTGACTCAAAGCAAACAGCAGCACAATGAAAGAACATGTCCCCAAGCGCAAGAGCGTGGCACCTGAATAAACTACAGGGAATAGTTGGTTTTGGTCAATTCATGGGATTAGTTGACAAAAATAAACCTGTATGCAAGAGTATCACCAGCCTTATATTTCAATGATGTTAAAACGTCAGAGCATAAGTTTTAAAACAAATCCACTCATACTGTATTTACATTTTCTGTTGGCCTCTATGACCAAAGATACAACATTCACTTCAGTCTTACCTGTGATTTCTCCTATTTTCTCCAAGGTGCCGTTTTGTGACCAGTGTAAGTCGTCGATGCCTTCAAAGAAGCAGGCAGCTCCCTGGTTGCACCAGAAAGGTGCGGGCGCCTCTGGCCTGAGGTGGGGGAAGGTGCAGTTACCCAGCTGAAACAGCTCGTACCACTCCATGGTGTAGTTGGCCCCTGTTTCTGAACTGCTGAACCCAATGGCATCATGCATGATATGCTGTGAACCAAACAGAGACATTATAATGGCTCTCTGTGTGGAGATGGGGGGGAAGGGTGTACAGCTGTGTTTCTATGAATAAAGTCAGAAGTTGCACTTCCAGTTTAACAGCCCCACTATATTTAATCACCCGTTTGTGTCAGACATGTGATTTACCATCCACAGCAACACAGTAGTATCTTCATCTCAGTTTCAGAGAATAATTATCATCAACACAGAGAATATCTGTGCTACTGATGGATACTTTAAACCTCATTCAGTCTGAAATATTTTACCCAATCTATATTTTATTAGTTATATTAATATAGTGAACACAGGATGAATTATTATATATTTTTTAACTCATTTTTAATTTGAACTAGAAACCACAATTGTTTCAATATTAGAGTTTAAATAACAGTAACAACCAATTTAATCAAAATGGACAAACAAAACAATCTTTGAGACTAAAAAGTAAAAGATAAATTCTTTTTATAATTTAATTTAATTCATATTTGAACAACAACACACGCACAGCCAATTTAATTTAGACTTTATCAGTTGACAGAAAGATTGTAACAGCATTACCAGGTTGTTTCAACAGTCTCTGGGAACCCAAACCCTGATCTCAATGTGATGTAGAAAGAAATATCTGCAACATGTTTTATTTGATAACCAGAGGATTCATGTACTTACAAACTTCCCCAGCAAATCGCCATACTTGAACTCCCACACAGGTGTCTGCAGTCGATAAACTGAGACGACATCGCTGTCTCTCATGTAGGGAATCCGTCCGTCTCGGTCTCCAGTGGGACAGAAGGGGTAGAGAGCTTCACAGTAAGAGTCCACAGCAGGGCGACGATCAAACCGTCTGTTGATGGCACGAGGAATGCAGACAGAGTTTAGGCCTCAACAAATGCTGTTCTGTGACATGGTTAGGCAGCATTAAGTCACTGGGGACCCTGTTCAGTTCAGATTTAACCAGCTTTAGTACAACGACAATCTGAGTCCCTGTAGTTTATATGATCCATTGCAGCTCCAGCATAATGGGTTTTATTTAAATAAGACTAAAACATTTTTCTAAATATGACACTGATCACACACCCACACAGTTTAGACATTCTTTATGTTTCGTCTTGTTTTATACATTGGTCTTTAAGTTCAAAACATATCAAATACGTACGTCTCTAAAATTATTTCCTTTTTTATTCACTAAATAAATTAGTAAATGTTTATGCCAGTGTCAAGAGATTTCTGCTGTTCAATAAAGCCTGCACTGTATCAATCAATCATTACTGTCAATTACATTCAAATATAAACAATACTTACAACACTGCTTGCATTTACATGAGTACTGTTGCACAACAAAAATACGATTCCTCATATGCTCATACAGCAAGATGCTGCAGAGTCCAAATATTCCAGAGTCATGTGAACGCACCAGCCATAACTTGTTGTTGTGGATGTTGTTGTTTTTTAAGGGAAGGTATAACATCCACACAATATCGACTAATAAATCATAAGAGTTGTTTTTAAGACCCAGTCAATCTGCAGTTAGGGTGCATTATCCTCCAGTGTAAACTTTGTGCTGCAGACAGACACTATGTGATAGGTGTCACATGACTCCACGCTGCAGCGCAGAGGAAGGTGTTCGTACCTGTAGGGAACGGGCCACTGCTGCTGTCCATTGTTCCTGAGCTGAGTGTGAACAACGTGGAGAAACAGGAGCAGCTTCAGACACACGACAGCCTCCGTGTGAGTCATGTTAAAGCCCCCAAAAAGCGAGAGAGACAGCGGACGTTAGGGAGTGAGCCTTCCCATGATCCTCACCCTCTGCACTGACTTCCTCATCCCTGGTCACGTGGTTTTGTTGAGCTACGAAAGCACATGACACGAGTTATGTGTGTCAAAGTAACAAAGTGTGGAGATGAGTTTAGAAGTACATACATCAAATGAATACATGTGGAAATATGTTGAAAGGGATATATATGAATAAACGTGAATATAAAGAAATTAATAAATACAGAAAAATATAAGTCTTTTTTTTCTCCCAAAATTTTAATTTAATTTATCAGGCTCCTTTTACCGGTATTTATTTATTTATTTATTTA